AATCTATACATTTAATGCAATCCCTATCAAAATACCAGCAGCATTTTTCACAGAACTAGAACAAACAATCTTAAAATTTGTATGGAACCAAAAGATATCCAAAATAGCCAATGTACTCTTGAAAAAGAAAAGCAAAGCTGGAGGCATCACAATTCCAGACTTCCAGTTATATTACAAAGCTGTAGTGATCAAAACAGTATGGTACTGGCACAAAAACAGACACATAGATCAATGGAACAGAATAGAAAACCCAGAAATGAACCCACAACCCTATGGTCAATTAATCTTCAACAAAGCAGGAAAGAATATCCAATGGAAAACAGCAGTCTCTTCAACAAATGGTGTTGGGAAAACTGGACAGCAACATAAGAAAAAGAAAGAAACTGGACCACTTGCTTATACCATACACAAAAATAAATTCAAAATGGATTAAAGACCTAAGTGTGAGACTAAAACCATAAAAATCCTAGAGGAGGACACAGGCAGTAACTTCTTTGACATCAACTATAGCAACTTCTTACTAGATATGTCTCCTGAGGCAGGGAAACAAAAGCAAAAATAAACTATTGGGACTTCATCAAAATAAAAAGCTTCTGCACAGCAAAGGAAACAATTAACAGAACTAAAAGACATCTACTGAATGGGAGAAGATATTTGCAAATGACATATTTGATAAAGGGTTAGTATCCAAAATATATAAAGAGCTTGTAAAATGGAACACCCCAAAACCAAATAATCCAGTTAAAAAATGGGCAAAAGAAATGAACAGACATTTTTCCAAAGAAGACATACAGATGGCTAACAGACACATGGAAAAATGCTCAATATCACTTATCATCAGGGAAATGCAAATCAAAACCCCAATGAGATACCACCTCACACCTGTCAAAATGGCTAAAATTAACAACTCAGGAAACAACAGGTGTTGGTGAGAATGCAGAGAAAGGGGAACCCTCTTATACTGTTGGTGGGAATGCAAACTGGTGCAGCCACTGTGGAAAACAGTATGGAGGTTTCTCAAAAAGTTAAAAATAAATTTATCCTATAATCCAGCATCACACTACTGGGTATTTACTCAAAGAATACAAAAACACGGGCAACCCTCTCAGGTCCCCTCCCTCTTTGGGAGCTTTGTACTATCACTTTGCTATTGCTCAATAAACTTTGCTTTGCTGCCCACCACTCTGTCTTCATTCTTCGAAGCGGCATGACCAAGGACCATGTGTACCGACGGAGAAAAAAATACTGTACCATTTATGGGGGCTTGTCAGGGATCTCCACCATTGTTAAGGACAACTAACCAATAAAGGTCCTCAAACTCCAAATGGTGGTTCAGATGGAGGCTCACATGGAGGTCAAACCAGACATCGACAAGGGACCCCTTGATAGATCGGGATGATAGGAACCTTGACTGCCACCCCATCCAACGCCCTTGACCAGCAAGAAGTAGCTATGATCAGTCGTTGCCCTTCTTCCATAACAGCAGTTATCGTTACCTCTTCAGAGGGGAGAATAATGGATAGTTGGAAGGCAGGCACGCAGGCAGGGACAAGGGGCCCCCGCCCTAAGAGGAAGCCACCCTTAAAAGGATTTTACACCACCCTGGAAGGAGTCCTCCACCCTTTCCCATATGATAGACAAATACCTGATTGAATGACAGGTGCAGGGAGGGTTAATCAGATTAAAACAGCCCAACAAGCCCATAAAACCCCCTAGACTTAGAAACTTCGATGGCAACCCTCTTGGGTCCCCTCCCTCCTCGGGAGCTTTGTACTATCACTTTACCATTGCTCAATAAACCTTGCTTTGCTGCCCCCCTCCCAAGAAAACCCCACTAATGCAAAGGGATACATGCACCCCTATATTTATAACAGCATTATTTATAATAGCCAAGATATGGATGCAGCCCAAGTGTCCATCAATTGGTGAATGGAAAAAGAAGATGTGATACACACACACACACAGGAATATTATTCAGCCATAACAAAGAATGAAATCTTGCTATTTGCAAAGACATGGATGGAGCTAGAGAGTATAATGCTAAGGGAAATAAGTCAGTCAGAGAAAGACAAATACCATATGATTTCACTCATATGTGGAATTTAAGAAACAAAACAAAGGAGAAAAGGGGGGAAAAAAGAGAGACAAATTAAACAGACTCTTTTTAAAAATTTTTTTAAATTAACATATAATGTATTATTTGTTTCAGGGGTACAGGTCTGTGATTCATCAGTCTTACACAATTCACAGCACTTACCATCACCCAGCCACCCCATCCCTTTCACCCCCCTCCACTCCAGCAACCCCCACTTCGTTTCCTGAGATTAAGAGTCTTTTATGGTTTGTCTCCCTCTCCTGTTTTGTCTTCATTTTTCCCTCTCTTCCCCTATGATCCTCTGTCTTGTTTCTCAAATTCCTCATATCAGTGAGATCATATGATACTTGTCTTTCTCTGACAGATTTATTTCACTTAGCATAATACCCTCTAGTTCCATCCACGTCATTGCAAATGGCAAGATTTCATTTTTTGATGGCTGCATAATATTCCATGTGTATATATAGCACATCTTCTTTATCCATTCATCTGTTGATGGACATCTAGGCTCTTTCCATAGTTTGGCTACTGTGGACATTGGGGTGCATGTGTCCCTTCAGATCACTACATTTGTATCTTTGGGGTAAATATCCAGTAGTGCAACTGCTGGATCGTATGGTAGCTCTAATTTCAACTTTTTGAGGAACCTCCATACTGTTTTCCAGAGTGGCTGCACCAGCTTGCATTCTCACCAACAGTGTAGGAGGGTCCCCCTAGGAAACAGACTCTTAACTATAGAGAACATAGTGATGGTTACCAGAGGGGAGGGGGTAGGGATATATCCCTCCCCCTCCCCCTCTGCCCCACCCCCTGCATGCCCTCTCTCTCAAATAAATAAAATCTTTAAAAATAAATAAATAAAATGTCTGGATTGATCCTCTACATCTCTTTCTTTTTTATATTTTCTATCTTCTATTTTCCGAAAGATTTTCTTCAACTTATTATTGATCTGTTCAAATTTTGGAAATCATGTATTTATTTTTCAAAAGTTCTATTTTGTTTTTTGAGTAGCCTTTTGAATAGCATCTTTGTCTTGTTTTATGGATGCAATACCTTTTCAAATCTCTATGGAAATATTTAAAACTTATTGAAAATTTTCTTTTGTTCCCTGCATTACCCCTGCTTAAGCTTCTATAAAGCCTCATTTTTATCTTGGTCTTTCTCTCATTATATGGAAGGCATGCCATGTATTAAGTATGGGAACCTCTGTGCATTGAAAAGCTGATTGGGCATTCTGTGTACATGAGCAATGTTTGCCAACTGTCAGGTTGGATAAAGTTAATTAAATGTTGAGTTAGGCATTATGATGTGGAAACTCCCAACTCTCCAAACCTGGAGGTCTTTTTTCTGATATCATTCAATTTCTTTAAATTTTTTTTCCTGGAATAACATCTTGTTGCTGAATGGTCAGTCAGCAAAAGTGTGTGTGGTTTTATTTATTTATCTATCTTGGGGGTCTTTATTTGGATGTTTAACCCCCTCTATTTTTAGTCCCTCATTTCATCCCTTCCATCTGTATTCTGTGCATCAAGACTCTAAGCTTTGGCTTTATCCCGCTGCATCAGTTACCACTGTTAAAAAGAAAACCATAGGCTCAAAATGGCATCACTTGGGCCAGGCTGAGTCACCAAACTGGGGCTTAAAACCTAACCTAACTGCAGATTCAACCTCCCCCAGAAATAGAACTTAACCTGTCAATCAGAAATTTTCTGAGCAGCACCAATGATATAATTTGTCACATGGGCCCTCTCTATTCCCCAAAAAAGGAAGATGAAGTAATCCATCTAAAAAGGTCCCCTGCCCTTCTCCCTAAGGGAGGGTGACTTTGCCTGAAACAATCCTTTCTTTTCTTTTGCTAGTAACTTTCTTGCCCCATTCTCCTTTCTTTTTATTTTTTTAATGAAATATAGTTAACACACAATGTTACATGAGTTTCAGGTGTACAACATAGTGAATCAACAATTCTATCCATTATACTATGCTCACCACAAGTGTGGCTACCATCTATCATCATACAAGGCTACTGCAATATCATTGACTATATTCTTTATGCTGTGCCTTTTATTCCCGTAACTTATTCATTCCATAATAGGAAGCCTGTATCTCCCATTCCCTATACCCATTTTGCCCATCTCCTACCCCATCCTCTTTTCTATAGAAAGCTTCCATTTCATACAACTTCTTGAAACTCCCCTTTACTTGCTAGATGGGATGCTGCCCAATTCATGAGTCACTTAATAAAGCCAATCAGATCTTCAAATTTACTCAGTTGAATTTTGTTACCACCACTCATCTTCCATCTATATTCCACCTTGCAGAATTTTGTTGAAATCTCTCACCCTCTGATGGATTCTCCTGCTCTTGTTATGGGTTTATATGTTCTTTTTATTCCTTCACCATCATTTTGGTGGAGTCTTGAGGAAAGGAGATAAAAACACATATTCAATTTTCCACCTTTAATAAGACTGCTTAATTTCAAAAGTATTTGTGTTACAAACTCCCCTCCTATCCTTGTATATTTGGTCTTGTGAACAGTATAAATTTTCTAGAAGAATAAAGAAGTGTTTCTGTATTTTATGGGAGTAAGGTTCACATAACCTTGGGTGGTTTAAAGTATCCTACTGAGTGATCTGGACAAGGGGAAGTACTAAAGATACTTACGGCACTGTGAGATAAACTCTCTCTTCATGACTTCAGAAGCCTAGTTACTCATTTACAACTGGGATAAGAGAAATGTTCAAATAACTAGAGAAGTTCTATAAAACACTTGTTAAGTTTTTATTCTACTACCGAACCATGTTCCCATAAACCTCTGGTTACCTCTAAATTTCCAACATCTGGAAGAGAACAAGCTATGGTATCACGCAGCCAGCCCCTCCTACATCCTACTCACTCAAAGAATTTCCCCTTTGAGCAATTATAACATTGGCTGCTTACTCATACCAGATTCCTTACGATTGGCTGGGACTGCAAATAAAACGTTGTTTGCCTATAATGAGGTCAATAAGCTGCTACATAAATGCACACAAGTTCCCAGTCTTAAAACGACACGAAGCATTTGCTATCTTCTTTCCTTTTATTATTTTCATGTGAAACCTGGAGGGTAAACATTTGCCCTGGCCAAAAGAAAAGGTCTTTGAAGGGAGAAAAAAACCCCAAAAACCCTAAAATGGGTCTACTGAGTTCTAAAAACCCCAAAACCAAGCAAGCCCGGATTCTTCTTTTGGGACTTGACTCAGCTGGGAAGTCTACCCTCCTTTACAAATTAAAGCTTGCTAAGGATATTACGACCATCCCAACAATAGGTTTCAACGTGGAGATGATCGAGTTGGAAAAGAGTCTTTCACTCACAGTCTGGGATGTTGGAGGACAGGAAAAAATGAGAACCGTGTGGGAGTATTACTGTGAGAACACCGATGGGCTGATGTATGTTGTGGATAGTACAGACAAGCAGCGACTGGAAGACTCCAGGAGAGAGCTGAAGCACATTTTGAAGAATGAACACATTAAAAATGTGCCTGTTGTCCTGTTAGCCAACAAACAGGATGTACCTGGAGCTCTGACTGCCGAGGACATCACCAGAATGTTCAGAGTGAAGAAGCTCTGCAGTGACCGGAACTGGTATGTGCAGCCCTGCTGTGCCGTCACCGGGGATGGACTGATGGAGGCGTTCAGGAAATTGACTGGATTTGTGAAAAGCCACATGAAATCAAGAGGAGACACTTTAGCATTCTTTAAGCAGAACTGAGGTCCAAGCAGTGACGTATTGGTGAAATTGAAAGGGTAATTTTTTTCCTATGCCAAGTGAGAAAAGCAAGTTGCCGAGTTAGCAAACTTTTCCTAAAAGGTTATCTCACCTAAATTCAGCTAAAAACTTAGAATAATATCTAGAAAATATTATTTTTGGCCAGGCACTTTAGTAAACTATGTGGTAATGATAGTTGAGAATAAAATCTTACAATTTTGTGCATGTTGGATAAATAAGAATAATTGTGTTTGGGACCAAATAAATTATTGCTTTATTGTTTTTATATGACTACTAGAACAAAATTTAAGTAAACTGCTAATCGGGTCAGAATTCTTTCAGATGGTTTCCAGCTGTTACAGTATTGAATTTCTACCACACTCCTATGGAACAGCCAGTAAAAAAATAGAACTTTAAATTATGGCGAGGAAGAAGTTTGGTGTTAACATCTTGTAGATCCCTATGCCTTAAATGAAGTTTTTTTCTGGATTCCTGCCAACTCTTTGAAATCTATTGCTGGGAACTTCCTACAGTGAGTCAAACAAGGAACTTCAGGCTGTTAATTGCCCAGAAACATAGGAAGAAGTTTATACCTTAAAGTTCTGGGGATCAGGGTAGCTAGCTCCTTAGAGTTTAGGGCGAGGCCTGGGTTTTGCTCAGCTTGAGGTTGTAGCCCCAAGATGGGCTTATGTAGAATTCGGTAGAACAGTCATTACTTGGGAATATATGTACAGCTCACTGCACTGATCAAACAGGAACCAGAGCCAGACTTTAATCTCAGAGTCTTTGCAATTCACAGGAGGAAACAACATAAAGCTAGTAGCTAGAATAGGGCAATAAGTACTATGTGCGATAACAGGAGCAACTCTTTTCTGACCTGGGAAAACAGGAAGTGCTTCATGCAGGAGGTAGTCTTTAAGAAGGTCCCCAACTCCTAGGGACCCATGAAGGTGGAGGTTAGTCACTGGAAGTTCCCATCACTAGAAGACCCTAAAGAGCCACTGCTGGGGAGGGGAGAAGGAACTGGGGACTGAATTGGAATGCCCCTGACAGGCATCGAACTCCCAGGAAGGTCCTGGTGCTGACAGATGACACTTTCTGCCTGCCCCACCTCTAACAAAGCTCATTCGGGCTAGAAGCAGCATGCCTCAGGCCCTGACAGCAGCCCCCGGGGCTCCAAATCTTAAGGTCACGGAAGAAAATAAATGTTCAAGGGTGCTAGCCCCTGAATTCCTCTCATGGTTTCCTTCTCTCGCCCTAGCCATGATCTTGCTAGCAAAGATCTGAGTGCTGCATGGTAGGGATTCAAATATAAAGTAGACATACACATGGTAACAGTTACCATTGGTTGAATGCTTGTCTGTGCCAGGTGTTGTGTAATCGCTTTCAGGCATCTCATTTAATGCTGACAACTGCCTTGAGAGAAATTAGCAGTATTATGTCAATTTTACAGAGGAGAGTACTGAGACTAAACAAGGTAACAACAATAACAACCACACAAAACCTACTTTGTATTTTAACTAGGAGTGGCAGAGTCAAGATTCAAACTCATCTGTCTAACTTCAAGGCCAGTACCGTTACTTGTCATATTGTTCTGTTAATAAGGTATGGTGTCTGTCTTCTATGAGCTTATTATACACAATCAAGAATAAATCCAAGCTAAGGGCACCTGGCTGGCTCAGTCAGTGGAGCATGCGACTCTTGATCTCTGGGTTTTAAGTTTGATCCACACAGTGGGTATAGAGATTACTTAAAAAAATAAAATAAAATCTTCAGAAAAAAAAAAAGGAATAAATCCAGGCTAAATTAAAAATAAAACTACCATTTGATCCAGCAGTCCTACTACTGGGTATATATCCAAAGGGAATGAAATCACTACCTTGAAGAGGTATCTGCACTTCCATATTAATGGCAACATTATTCACAATAGTCAAAATGTGGAAACAACCTAAGCATCCATCAGTGGATTAATGGATGAATGGATAAAGAAAATGTGGTATGTATACACAATGAAGGCCACAAAAAAGGGAAATCCTGGTCTCTGTGACAACATGGATGAAATCAGAGGGCATTATGTTAAGTGAAATAAGTCAGACACAGAAAGACAAATATTCTGTGATTTCACTTTTATGGGGAATCTAAAACAGCCAAACTCACAGAAACAGAAAGTAGATTCGTGGTTAACAGAGGTTGGGGATGGGGTAAGGGGAAATGGGGAGACATTTGTAATAGGGCACAAACTTTCAATTATAAGATGAGTAAGTTCTGAGGATCTAATGTACACATGGTGACTATAGTTAATAATACTGTATTGCATAGTTGAATTTGCTAAGACAGTAAATCTTAAGCATTCTCATTAAAAAAAAAGGAAGGAGGATGTGTTAATTAACTCAATTATGGGAATCCTTTTACAATGTATATCAAATCATCACATTGTGCACTTTAATACATTACTATATATGTAATACATATTACAATTTTATTTGTCAATTATACCTTAGTAAAGCTGGGGGGAAAATAAATGCAGGCCAACATATAATACTTCTATATTAAGAAGGTTCTTTGAGGGGTACCTGGCTCAGTGGGTTAAGCATCTGACTCTGCTCAGGTCATAATCTCAGGGTCCTGAGATCAAGCCCTGCGTCAGGCTCTGCGCTCAGCAGGGAGTCTGCTTGAGATTCTCTCCCTCTCCCTCTGCTCCTCTCTACCCACCCCCCCAATAAATAAATAACATCTTAAAAAAAAAGAAGGTTCTTTGAAAAAACAAGCCATACAGAATAAATTAAGTGTAATAACAGAGATATAAGAAACATGCTGAGAGACTGGCAAAAAAAGTTTCTGATTTCAGGAAGATCTCAGCGGGGATCTTCAATGTTAAATGCTTGGTAGTAGTTTTTCCAAAGTTCCACAAAATTATTAAAACCACAAATATGCATCTTTTTAAAAAAATGCATCCTCTCTTACCATTTTCCCTATGTGGTTAAAAAAAATCTTCCCAATAATCTTAAAAGGAATCACTAACTTACGTCTATAGGAAATGTCTGAATAGAAAACGTCACCTGGTGGTCCAAAATATATCTCCCTTCTGGCCATTTCTCAATCTCCATCACTACCACAAGGCCACCACTGATTCTTACCTGGGTGGCTACATTCTCCACGCGGGAGAGGTCTAAAAATGACCATCAGCTCACTTCACTGCCCTGCCTTACAAACCTTTATTCGCTTCTTACCTCATTATGGTACCTTCTTCCTGTTTCTCCCACCTCACTCCCAGAACAGCCAAATTTGCTGTTTCTCCAGCTCAGAATATGTTTTCCTCAGGTCTTCAAATGTTCACAGCTTCATAGCCTTCAGGTCTCCAAGCAAATATGCACAGGCATTCATTCCCTGAATCCTTATCTAAATGAACCTCCTCATCCCCGCCACTCCCTACCCCCTCCCCCTTACCCCGCTTTATTATTTTACATAGAATTTATCATGACTTTAAAGCATATCATTTACTCATTTACTTATTGTCTCTTTCCCTCCCTAGAAGGTAAACTTCATGGGAGCAGGGACTTTGTTTGCTGTTGTATCCTAGAACAGATACAGGTACAGAACATAGTGATGTTCAGCTTTAGGACACAAATGGTATTTAAAAGGTATTTGTAGAATGAATGAATGAATGAATGAATGGTCTGAACCATAAAGTGAGGTCTTGTCAGGGCCTTAGGATATGTCTCAAGATGGAATATGGATCCAATAATGGAGAGATAATAGAATGGCAGATTTGGACCTAGCACACTCTCAGGGTCCTTGGGGGCAGTGTGCTGGACTGGAATGAACATAGACTCTGGAGCCACGACTAGGTGGGCATTCTGGTTCACCACTTTTTTTGGCTTTCAGGAAGTTTACTTCACCTTTCTGAGTCTCAGACTAGAATGAGACTTGAACAAGAAATAAACTTTTATTGTGTTAAAACCATGGACACTTGGAAGTTGTTACAGCCACCACTGTTTATTACCCTAAACTAGGACCATGCTTCTTGCTCCTCCCATGTGTCCCAACACACTCCTTTTCCCAGGCCTCTTTTCCTCATAAATCCCCTCTTCTCGGTCTTCCTACTCATTCTAGAACCCTCATTTGATTCACCCCAGAACAGGAAAGGAAAGGGGAATTTAATTTTTCCTCAACTTTTTATTTTGAAAATTTTCAAGTCTTCAGAAAACTTGAAAGAAAAGTAAAATTAAGACAGGTGTACTTTTCACCTAAATTCACCAGTTATAACAATTTTGCCATGTCTGGGCTCTTTCTCCATCTCTCCCTCTCTCTCTCTCTCCACACACACACACGCACACACACACATACACACACACGATTACAATCATCCTGATACTTCACACCTAAATACTTTATCATCTCTTTAGAATAGACATTCTCTCATATAAGAATACCATTATTACAAATTAAAGTTTAAGCATTAACTAAATATCATCTAATAGTCCATAATCAAATTTCCCCCCAAATAGAACTTATTTATAGAACTTATTTTATCCAAGATCTACTGCATTTGGTTATGTCACTTTTTTAGAGTATTTTCCCTGACTTTTGCTAGTTCTTCATGACCTAAAAATTTTTGAAGGCTCTAGGCCAGATCATTTAAAGAAATGTCCCACAGTCTGGGGGCACCTGGGTCGCTCAGTTGGTTAAGTACCCAACTCTTGGTTTCTTTGGCTCAGGTCATGATCTCAGGGTGGTGAGATCAAGCCCTGTGTTGGGCTCACGCTCAGGGCAAAGTTGGCTTGAGATTCTCTCCCTCTCTCCCCCATCCCTCCCCCTTCCCTAAAATAAATAAGTAAATAAATAAAATCTTAAAAAAAAAAAAAAGAATGCCCCACAGTCTGAATTTGTCTGATTGTTCCTTCACAATTAAGTTCAGGTTAAACACTTTTGGCAAGAATATTCCACAGCTCAATTAAAAAAAAAAAAAAAAGAATATTCCACAGCTGATGTACTTCCTGTTGTATCCCTTAAGAGACACAGAGTGTCAGTTTGTCCCATTATTGATGATGCTACATTTGATTACTTCTTTTATGATAGTATCCACTAGATTTCCCCAAGGTAAAAATATAACTTTCCCCTCTGTTCTTAATAAGTAATTTGATATGAGAAGTATATTTTGAGACTGTGTGAATATCCTGTTCCCCAAAGCCTTTCTTTTATTTTTCCATAGATGCTGACTTTTATTATTATTATTATTATTATTATTATTATTATTATTATTATTATGTTCAGTTAGCCAGCATGTAGATGCTCACTTTAGTTTTTTTTTATTATGTTATGTTAATCACCATACATTACATCATTAGTTTTTGATGTAGTGTTCCATGATTCATTGTTTGCGTATAACACCCAGTGCTCCATGCAGTACATGCCCTCTTTAATACCCATCACCAGGCTAACACATCCCCCCACCCCCCTCCCCTCTAGAACCCTCAGTTTGTTTCTCAGAGTCCATAGTCTCTCATGGTTTGTCTCTCCCTCCGATTTACCCCCCCTTCATTCTTCCCCTCCTGCTATCTTCTTCTTTTTTTCTTTTTTTAACATATAATGTATTATTTGCTTCAGAGGTACAGATCTGTGATTCAACAGTCTTGCACAATTCACAGCGCTCACCATAGCACATACCTTCCCCAATGTCTATCACCCAGCTACCCCATCCCTCCCACCCCCCACCACTCCAGCACCCCTCAGTTTGTTTCCTGAGATTAAGAATTCCTCATATCAGTGAGGTCATATGATACATGTCTTTCTCTGATTGACTTATTTCACTCAGCATAATACCCTCCAGTTCCATCCATATCGTTGCAAATGGCAAGATCTCATTCCTTTTGATGGCTGCATAATATTCCATTGTATATATATACCACATCTTTATCCATTCATCTGTCGATGGACATCTTGGCTCTTTCCACAGTGTGGCTATTGTGGACATTGCTGCTATAAACATTGGGGTGCACGTACCCCTTCGGATCCCTACATTTGTATCACCCCAAAGCCTTTCTCTTAATGCTTTTACCATCCATTGATGATCCTTTCCTGACTCAGTTATTACACTGGGAGGTGCAAAATGGTGATTTACCTTGCACATTAGCTGGCATTCCTACTGTAAAGAAGAGCTTTCTCTTTTATCCTCCATCTCCATAATATCTCTCTCTATTCACAGATACTTTTTAAATTCGAAGTTTTATAATCCAGTGCTACTCAAACTGAAGTCCCTGAATCAGCAACCTCAGCATCACCTGTAAGCTGTTTAGAAATGTAAATTGTCAAACTCCACCCAGACCTATTAATCAGAATATCTGGGGG